AGTTGCATTATTTCTGGCAGTCTGTAAAAGGCCCATGGTTTGAGCGTTGGACTAGACCAGTGATCTCCAAACTTCAGTCTTTCAGATGTTTTGGACTTCAGCTTCCAGAAGCCGCAGCCACTTTGGCCGACTGTCAGGAATTCTGGGAGCTGAAATCCAAAACACCTGGAGGAGCAAAGTTTGAGCATCACTGGACTAGACTCTGAAAACCAGGGTTCAAATCCCTGCTCAGCCATGGAAATAGTGGGTGAGCCTGGACGCATCACACTTTCTCAGCCTCAGAGGAAGGTCGCCATAAGTCAGAAATAGCTTGAAGGCACACAACAACCACTCTTGGAGTCCTAACTCAGCAAACTATTACTATTACACCACACTGGCTTTGGGGTTTCCCACTCCAGACAATAGGGAGGGGACTAGCATAACTGAATACCAATCCATATTAAAATGTCCCCACATGAGGAGCCAGATAGACTTGATTTTTGACATGTGGAATTTCTTTTTTTCTTTTTTTCCATCTGAGGAAGCAGTTCCATCATGTGATTTCAAGGTTTAATTTCTCTATGATAACTAGTCCACCTATTTCCCTGAAAAAAGATAAAGCCCAAACTATTTTTGTTAAATATAACTAAGGAGCTAAAAGGGAAGGTGAGTGTAATCCCATATATGATTACAGCAGCCTGTATAATATGTGCAAAACATTGGAAAGGGGGAAATAAACACATTCTTGAAGAATGGATAGCAAAAGTAAATGACTTAATGATAATGGACAAATTAACAATTATAATAAATGGCAAATCTGAACAACATTACTTCGAGAAATGGGGGAAGATTAAAGAATTATGGCATTAAGATGTCAATTACAAACATTACAATACTTACATAAAATATTATAAATACCCAAGAAATGGTTTGTTTAGAAAATCCTTTTGGATGACTTTCTTTCTGTCTAAAAGACATAAGCTTAAAAACTTTCTGTTGTACTGTAACTATGCATGAATAGTCATATATATATATTATTTATAACAAGAGAGTGAATGTATTTTAGGAAAATAAAAATAAATAACATTCAGATAAAAAAAAGTACATCAGGGATCAGAACTGGAAGTTAATTAAACTATTTCAGAGTTCAGTAGGACTCCATTACAGGTGGATGGAGTCAGTCAAGGAAGTCACAGCCCTGAGTTTGCAAGTCCTGACTAAAAGACTCTTGATGACAGGAAACTTGGAGATCTCTCATTCATAGGGTCATCATAAATTGAAGTCAACTGGATAACATTTAACCATGTATATACATACCGTATATGAATATGATTTTTGTAAATCTAATGAGTCACAGCTGGTGGATCCCATATTATTGGAGGTAGTGAACCTGCTCCATGATTTGCTGTGAAATCTAAAGTTGTCCAAGATGCGGTCAGTACCTTGGATAGCTCTTTAAAATTCAGATTAAAACCCAGAGAACAGCTGCTGCCCCTGATCTGGAAGCCACTGAATAGAATCATTGCCTTATGTTCACAAGTGTGCCAACAGCTTAGGACAATGTGTCCGTAAGCATGTGCACAATATACAAAAGTACTGAGCATATGTTCCTCACTTGTACAGAGACTGTAAATACCTGCTAGGGAATAGGATGTCTTGCTACACCTCTCTTGCTGCACCTCTATCTACCTGTCCAGTGACAGCAGTAGCCCTACAGGCCCACACAAAGAAAGGGTGCAGAAGGGGATTGTAGACAGTCACAAAAATGAAAGAATAATGCTTGTGATGTTCAAATTCTTTCACAACATTATATAGTATTTTAAAAATATATCCATCTAGAAGAAGTGCCCAATCATCCCTGGGGATGAACAGCACTACTCTTCTTCTGTATAAAAAAAATATAAAGTATTATTTTGCATAAATTGTGTACATTAATTTGCTTAACCATTAATTAGTTTTTAAATTGTGTAGCTATCCAGATGTTGTTGGGCCTCAACTCCCAGAAGCTTCAACTGGCATAACCAATGGTGAGTGAGGGATGCTGGGATTTGCAATCCAACATCTGGAGACGTACTAGTTGTTTATTCCTCCTACATCTTGCATAGTATCTAAGTGGTTCTTAATAACACTCCCTCCCCCACTGGTAAGAGGACAAGCAGGTTCCAAGTGGCATCAAGACTGGACAAATGCCAGGGAGCCATAATTGGCAAAAGGCCCACTAATCCAATAATTTCCACTTCAGCTCCACATAAAAACACCCAAACAGGTTGGTCCTATAATTCCCATTTCTTCTTTTTTTGGAACTGGTTTTAGTTCCAGGGCTCCCCAAGAGTTCCTTTGGTGCCAAACACTGACACTTGTAATTGCTATAAGATGAAGTTTATTAGTGGTAAGTGATGCCACAGAGATTACATAGCAAAGAAGCATTCCAGCCCTTTCACTGATAGAATCCAGCATCTACTCACAGCAAAAGTAGAGCTGGGCCCCCAAACCAATTTTATCCTAGTGGCAATCAAATTCAGTCCCCATTGTGGGTGAAATGGGGTCCCTGGACTGGGGTGCACTCCCTTCAGGTCAATGCCAATAGAAGATGCACTTCCAAAGTTATACAGTGCAAGGGCAAACAAACAAAAGCAAAGTGTGCAAGCATAACCTTTTTCTCCTTCTTCCACAACTATGCAAACTATGCAAGCAGGTTAGTAACAGAGGAAAATTCATTTTCCCATTCCATTCCCACTTTTCCTACCTTTTCCTAGCCTCAGACTGCAAAGCTAATACAAATAGTATCTAAAACAAGGTTACCGTCAACTTTCTCTACACTGAACTACTGTTCACAATTGGCCATGATGCTAACAAGGACATCCAAACCCTTGCAGAGGTACAAGTCACTAGATTAATAGTGCAGTCAAGGTTTGAGAAAACAGTAGCTTGCCTAAGTCAAGTGAATTTGAGACTGAAGTGAAAAGTGAAAAAAAGCATGACAAACCAGCTTTTACTAGTAGGCACCATTACTAACCTGCTTGCATAGTTTTCATATGTATGGAGGGAGGGAGAGGAGCCGTGTTTGCATTTCACATCCTACCAGCAAACCTGGCGTAAAGGAAAATGCAACCAATCCCTCTGTTCTGTTTGTATACCTTTACATTACATTGCTTAATTTATTTATTCCCCCCCCCCCGTTTTGTTTTGTTTTGTTTTTAAATCTTAAAACAGACCATCAAGAATGACAGCTTGTGGTGTATAAAATAAATGATAGACAAATAGATCTTACAAGTATTCTGTTAAGATGCCAAAGTCCAGCTGATCAGGAGTATCTTTAAAGGTTCTGCCATAAGGTCTAATCTAGTGTAATAAGGGTCCAAGCCACACTGCAAAAATAATCTAGTTTGAGACCACTTTAACTGCTCTGGCTCAGTGCTAGGGAATCCTGGGAATTGTAGTTTATTGTTCCACCAGAGCTCTCTGACAGAGAAGGATAAATGTTTCACAAAACTACAGTTCCTAGAATTCCATAACATTGAGCCAGGGCAGTTAAAGTAGTCTCAAATTGGTTTATTTATGCAGAGTGTTCTGGACTGCAGTTATCTTTCCAAAATTTCTGTCGATGTAATGGGATTGTTCAAAACCTGTCCTTGTTGTTGAAACAGATAATATATTGGAACCATTTTTCAACAAACTTATGCTCACTGGTTTTTCCTCATTGCTTACTTTACTTATGATGGTACCTTTACATTATAAATGTTTGCCCAGCTCATTCAAGATACAGGTGTAATTTCCATATTCATAATCCCCTGTAAGTGTTAGGGGAGTTTGATGCTTCTTCCCTCTCATAAGTATAGATGAGAATGTGGTTATCTAAAATAATCCCAAAGTTGTGAATTTTTTTTCATTCCAAATGTGATAATGTATAGAAAACAGAACCACGTACCCATAAAAGCACACATCGATCAGAATGACAACTTTGACCTTCAAATGCCAAAAGCTCAAATACTGTTCTCAGAATTACTTGTGCAATTTTTTACCTGGGCTGTTCTCTACAGCAGATGTCAGTTGTTTACGCAGTGACAGTATGTCCAATTTGGAGCTGAGATGCCAGCCTTCAAACACCAATTCAGTCATAGCTAGATAGGTCGCACTGGGGTTAAAAACTTGCACGTTTCACATTCAGTTCTTTAGTTCATAAAATAACACTGTGAAGCTGTTTGAAGCAGTGTAAATATTTTTTACCTAAAGTGATGGTACACAATTATCTTCTTCCTTCTTTATTCAATTTATCTCCCACCTGTTCCCACCACAGGACCCATGCATGCGTGTGTGTGTGTGTGTGTGTGAACTGGGATTCAAACCCTGGTCTCCAGCGTCATAGTTCAATATATAAACACACATAGTTATGTGTACATGGGTAATATATTTGTTGTTGTTGTGTGCCTTCAATTAGTTTCCAACTTACGGTGACCCTAAGGCAAACCTATCATGGGGCTTTCTTGGCACGATTTGTTCAGAGGAGGCTTGCCATTGCCTTCCCCTGAGGCTAAGAGAGTGTGACTACCCCAAAGTCACCCAATTGGTTTCATGGCCAAGCGGGGAATTGAATCCTAGTCTCCAAAGTCGTAGTCCAACTCAAATCACTATGCCACACTGGCTCTTAGTGAGAGCTTGAGCGGTGTGTATGTGTATATTTGTGTTTGTGTGTGACTGCAAATAGATATATAGATATATAGGGGCGACTGTATATTCCCCCTTGACAAGGTTGTCGTGTCTGACCCTAAGGGACAGTGCTGATCTCCATTACTAAGCCAAAGAGCCAGCATTGTCAGAGACTCCTCTGTGATCACGGGGCCAGCATGATTGCACAGAACATTGTTTACCTTCCCACCCAAGTGGTCCCTATTTATCTACTTGCATTTGCATGCTTTCCAACTGCTAGGTTGGCAGAAGCTGGGACTAGTGATAGCAGCTCACCCCATCATGCAGCACCCGGGCCTCAATATATATATTACTGTATATTATATATAGTGAGAGTCCAGGTGGTGCAGTGGTTTGAGCATTGGCCTACAACTCTGAAGACCAGGGTTTGAATCCCTGCTCGGCCATGATGTGCAGCTGCGCCTCCTCCTTGGTCTCCCAGGTAAGTTTAAGAAAGTTTGCAAAGTCTGGGTGGCTGAAGACCAAGTTTGACCAGGAGCAGGTAGTGGCAGGGGAAGGGCCATCATCCAGCCTTGGAGGGAGTGAAACAGCAGGCCCAGCACCATCAGGCCTAGCCTGAAGAAGAAAGCCCTCCCTCCCTCCATGCCATCTGCCATCATCTGGCCCCCTTCCATCAGGCCTTGCCTAAAGAGGAAGATTTCCCCTCCATCCACCATCGTCTGTCGTCAGAGGGAGAGAGTGGTGGGCCAGCTCCATCAGGCCTAGCCTAAATTAAGAAGGCAAGCCCTCCCTCCAGTCCATCTGCCATGGTCCAGGCCTCAGAGGGAGAGAAGAAGATCCCTGTCTCCACCGCCATTCCCTTCTCCTTTTGTGTCATGTCTTTTTGGATGTAAGCCTGAGGGCAGGGAGCCATCTAATTAACCATCTGTAAGCCTCTCTGAGAGTCTTTGTGGCTGAAGAGTGGGGTATAAATACAGTAAATAAATAAACAAGGGTAAAAGAAGCCAGGAGGCCCTGCTTGCGAGTCTCAGAAGGACGGAGCCCCTCTCCAGCTTAGGAGCCCTTCTTCACCTGCGAGGGGAAAGCAAAGTTTGCAGCGCCTGGAAGAGCAAAGGTGCAGCTGTGGGGGTTTTTTGGGGGGGTGGGGTAGGGAAAAGCAGGGTGTGACCACTGAAAAGGAGGACAAGGCACTGCAAAATGGAGTACATTCAGGAAAAAAGGAGGATATTGCAAACTAAAAGCCAAGAACACTTGTAGAATGGCAAACTCCTGCTTCCTAGTCCTGCTCAAAATGGAGGGCGTTCTGAAATTCCTCCTGGACCTAAGGCAATGGAATGGAGGATGCATCCTGGAAAAGGAGGACGTGCCTGGTCCCCCTAGCAGGGGAGGCATATTCTCTGGCTCCCACAATCCTCGGTGGGGCTTAGGACCCCTTTGTGGTGAGGCTCCTCTTTGAGACGTCTTAGCATCAGGGAGAAGTTTCCCTTCCAAGCCACCTTGGGTCCTTTAAAATTTTAGGCTGCTGCTGCTGCCTGCCACACAGCAGAATTAATGCAGTTTCACAGCACTTTAACTGCCCTGACTGGGGAATAATGGGCTTTGTAGTTTGTTGTGGCCCCAGAGCTAAATGTTTCACCAAGCTATAGAATTCCATAGCACGGAATAGCCAGGGCAGTTAAAGCGGTGTCAAACTGCATTAATTCTGCAGTGTAGATGGAGCCTTCCTCAAGCCTCTTTTCTCAGGGTGACACCTTTTTATTCCAGGGCATGCCCTACATCTCAGCCTTCTGTCCAGGAGAAATTCCATGATGTCTTCCATTTTGAGCATGACTCGGAAGCATGAATTGATATCTATATTAGTGTTTTGAGCTTTTGTTTGGTCATGTCCTCCATTTTGCTTGAATGTCCAACATTTTGGGGCACCTTGGCCTCCTTGGTGGTGAGGACACATCTGGTCTCACCCTGTGTCTTTTGTGCCCTTCAGGAAAATACTGAGCTAACCTTCTTCCTTCCCTCATATGTTGCTGGCCTGTTGCTCCCAAACTTTCCCATAGCCCCAAGGAATGGTGCAAGGAGAGAAAACCCTGCCTTGGGGCAACTCCTGAGGGGCTGCTTGCTTGCTTGCTTTCTCTGGGCCTTTGCAGACTGCCAGAAATAGTGCAAATTAAGTCCACTGTAAGGGTTAGGGTTAGTGCTAGGGAATCATGGGAATTGTTGTTGTTTTTTCCTGAGACATTGAGCCTTCTCTGTCAGAGAGCTCTGGTGCCACAATAAAATACAGTTCCCATGATTCCCTAACCCTAACCCTTAAAGTGGACTCAATTTGCACTATTTCTGGCAGTCTGCAAAGGACTTCTATAATAAGAAGAATAATAAAATTTATTTATATTCCACCCCTCTGAGAACAATCGGAGCAGCTTACAACAGTAAAATGGTACATAGTATAAAACAACTCAAATTCCCTTCCCCCCCCTTAAAACATTATTAAATCAATACAAATTAAAATCAACATATAACACAATTGTTATTAAAAACCCTCCCTAGAGGGCAGCATCAGTTTGGAGCTCCAGAATCATCAAATTGAAAGATTAGGTGCTGGAGTCCAGGAGGAAATTGATCACACACCAAAACAGGATACGTTGATAATCACAAGTGACTTCTTTCTTAGGA